TTGACCTTTTGGCCCATCAATAGTGCTTTTGCCCCACAAGTTATTTTTAGCAAGTTATTTTTTATGTTTTCATAAGAGAAGAGAGTTTAATATGACTATATAGTGTATTTCTACTGTAATATCACGTTTGCCATCACGCGTCAGTCAATAAACTGATTAATTGAAGAATAATAATACTTTCACGTTTCAGTGGGGTTTGGGAAACCACCTGAGATTCCTCCAGGTTATAGAGAAGACAATATATCAGACACGTTTTTCAAGCTCACACGGAAACTAAGCAGTGCTCAAACTTCGCCAAGCGGCCGGACTAACAGGGACACACAACATATTACCCCATCCTTTCCCTGCCGTTCACAGCAACCCAACACTCCTGACACAAGCTCACCCCCAGCACCCCTGACTGCCAAGCAAAACACCTGGCATCTGTATGAGAAGGGCGCCAATTTCACAGCGACTGCCAGGCGGTCAGCTGAGCCGTTGCCACACACACACACGTACTGGTAACATGTGTGTGAGGGCAGAGCGATGCGGATGTGCCTGCAGCTTGTGTGTGTCTGAGCCGTGTATGTGTATGTGGGAGACAGCAGAGGGCTGGAGTGTGCGCACGACAGACAGCTCAGTCTGGACACACACACAAAACCACAGTTTGGCAGCATTAGGGCTCTGGAAACATTTATAACTATATACTGACATGCACAACCACACTGGTGTGTTAACTTGCATGCAGACATTTGCACTGTATGCATGTCAAGTGTTAGACAAAGTGCCTACATTTAATTTTATATGGTTCCAGTGTCTCTCTGACATTGATGCATTTCCCTGTTGCGTGCTTCCATTCCCTGGCTGGCGTTTTGTGTGTGTCAGAGGCCAGGGCTGGTGCTGAAAGGCTGATGGATGGGGTCCAGGGGTCACGGACTTCAGCTGTTGTTGGCCGCAGCACAACCCAGTGAACCACGCTGCTAGCCTTGGGTTAGCACCAGAGCGCACAGCGCTTTTTGGTGTTTTTCATTGTCGGAGTGATAGGAAAGCTGAGAGGGTCGGGGGAGATATATAAAGAGGGGATTCTGGAGGGTTTGGATGCCGGGGGCCTGCAGCGGTGTTAAGAGGGTACAGAGGCAGGGGTCTGACCAGTCCGACAGCTTTGAGCCTCCTTAGCAGAGGAAGCAAATAAACAATGCAGTGCCCTCAACCTGGGAGTAACACATTGCTGCTCTATTCAGGTGGGAACCCACAGGGAACAGGCCTGCAGACCACTCAGTGGTCTCACGCTGATCCATCCACTGGTTAAAAGACTGAATGTTTTTGATTTGTCCAGTGGAAAAATATCTCAAAGGCACCTCAAAAAGTAAAAGAAGGAAATGCTGTAGCTCACTGAATGTAGGTTTGTATTGATGCTGACTGGCTGAACCCTGAAGAGCTTACCACACTGAAGTGAGAGCCTGAATGCAATGCAGATGGCATTCCAGCTGCACGCTCCCTATATATTACTCAGCACCAGTGTTAGTGCAAAGAAAAAAGGGACTTAAGTTGTTTTACAGGATTTTACAGTATATGAGGGGCTCAGTGACCCTGCCCAAAAAGGGGGAAAAAAACCCTTCTTTTCTCCATATTGGGATATATGAACCTTTCATTGTTGCCACGACGATGTCATCAGCTCTGAAAGGGGCTGCTGTGCCAGGAGCGGCGGCCACGTTGCCATGGCGACACTTAGTGTAAAAGATGGTGGTTGGTGGCTTCTCTGTGGTGTGTGGGCAAACGGGAGGCAGCCAGAGAGCCAGCGTTGCTTTTAGGGTAAAGGCGGTCTAAATTAACAGCGCTGCCGTATCGACTCGGCTACAGAAGGAAAAAAGACATTAAGTAAAAATGGATGTCTTAAACACAGCACAAGGTGAAACCAAGCAAGAATATTGCACAGGATATGAAATTATTTCCAATATCAGCCCAACTGTGGAAATTCAATTTCACAGCTCATGAACAATATCAAACAAACATGCTGGCTGAAAGCACACACTCCAACTTGAGTGATACTGTATCAAAAGGCTACACAGCAGACATAAAAGCGAATGAGGTGGGTGAAGGGCAGGCTAACGGGTAACGGTAATCCATAACTCCACCAATCTCCATATTCAGGCCGTTTAAACTGCACATTAGCCACCAGCTATTCCCATGGCCTGTCTCAGACCTGGGATGGGGTTGAGTGAGGGGGGGGCTTTCTAATGAACTGTATAATTAAATGAGAAGCTCCGCTCGGCCCGCTCTGACTACTCTCGATTCAGAGACCATGATGCCTTAACGAGGGCCGAATTGAAATGAATGGCAGCAGGTGAAGGACAGAAGGACAGCGGGCTAATGCGGTGGAATGCGCCTTTAATGAAGAGGATGAAAGGGGAGGGGGGGGGACGAGAGCACGCCGAGGTCACAGTGGGCGCTCACCCGTACCTTCATTCTGCAGTGCAAGGGTCCCCATACACACTCTCTATCTACTGTATACAACCCCCCCTCCATCTCTTCCCGCCTGTCTCTCTCAGCTCTGTCTTTTTTTGGGAGCTGTGTGGGAGAGATAACTGTTTCTGCTCTCCACTTTGCCCTCCCCAGAGCACAGCTTTTGATTGACACATGCTAACAAGCTAAGGTGTTCGACAGGGGCGCCGGCAGAATAGGTAATGCTAAGAGAACATAACCAGGGAATTCTCCCACAACCCGTGGTTCATGACAATCGACTGGGGAACAGCATGTGCTTCTGCATTTTTCCTTCCTTTTTCAGGAACTGCAACAAGAATGTGGGCTTATGAGGTGTCAAATTAATTCACGAAAAAAAAAAAAAAAAAAACCCTCATAACACAAGAGGAAAATGTAAGTGAAACACCAAAAAGAACCTAGCAGAATCAGTAAAGGGAAATTCAGCGAAAAGGAGAATGGGTGTAGAGAATAGACAAATAGCTTTTAAGGAACTGCAACAACTGGAAATCAGAGGTCATGTGGTGGGAGAGAGGAAACCCTCCTCACACGGCGAGGGTGTGAGAGCTGATGTGAGGCATGAAAATATGTCTGTCAGCGCATCAACGGCCGTGACTGCGTCCAGTCTGAGTCCATGTGAGATTGAGTGTCGTGTCATTGAACTAAAGAGTCTCTTCCAGATGACCATGAACAAAAGGGGAGACGCTCACAAGACACACACACACACACACACACACACACACACACACAGAGAAACTGATTGCATGAACTGTGGATGGAAGTGTAATTTCAGTAAGATGTGTGTTACAGCCAAATACTCCTGACAGTGATTTCAAAGCTTTTGTTTAATGGATGTAATTAGTTCTTGGATGTTCAGTAGCTGTTGTTTATTGTCTTTGGCAGCAAACTGACCACAAGCACTTGAAGGAGGCTGTTTACTGCGCAGTTACTCTTTAAAGTACAGTGAACAGCCAGTGAAGCCCGCTTTAAGTGCTGTAAGTTGTTGTGCCTTCAGTGAGAATGAGATCGACGTGAAATATTTCAACACTATCATTGGTGGAATTTAAGGATTGTAGGTTAATGATGGCTTTAAAATATTTTGTACTTTTCGTCTCTTTTATGCAGCCACTTGCTCCTTATCAGATTTAATGGTGTCAGACTTATTGTAGAAAGTTCATTCTTGACCTTGGGAATAATAAACTCTTAACTCAAGGGCCGGTTTCTAGCTTTTTTCTGGGAGTTTTCAGTGGAAAGAGTTGCTCAGTTGTCATGGTGAAAGCAAGTTTTTTAAAGTTTTTAAAAAGTCAAAAAAAAAAAAAAAGAATCTTCCAGTTGGTGTGCTCCAGGGCTCTCTCATTGTTTTTCCTCTGGATTTTACTGTTTAACAAAACAGCCCTTAAATGCAACATTTTCATCAGCTGGCGCTCACATTTTCATACTTGAGTGTCTTTGAATGGCCCACCAAGGAGAGCCTTTTCAAATGGTTCATGCTTACCATCGCATAATGCCATTACCGTGCCATTATCACGGCACGGTAATGCCTTTGGTAATGGTAAAGTGATGGTACATGTGACTGTTAATGAACTAACACATGCAAAAACCCTCTTTGAAAGTGTTAAACGTGACTGAAATATTTGTGTCTGATGCGAAATGGCAGTGAATATAGAAAGACGGGAGCTAATTCCTGCAAAAGGAGGAAAAAAAAACACCTTTTCATCATGTTTTTATTCAACTATCTGACGGAAATTTACTGGCTTTGCATCTTTGTACGTGATTCACCGATCACCTAGAAACTTTGGACTCTTTTTCCCCCATTTCATCATCACAGGATGGTCAGCAGACAGCTGCTGTGCCTTTTCCCTTTATTGTTTGTCCTGCTTTTATCTATTCTGGTTTTGTTTTGTGTTTTGAATACATGCCATATGAATAGAAATGCGTTATAATAAGCATTTGTTTATTACTGTTAGTTGCCCGGATAGCTTGTGGCTCATCGGAATTATTATTATATAATTGATCTTTGGCCTGACTCTATCCGGGAAAATTGGTTAAATAGTAAATAAATACAATGACTGATCATCCGCCTTTGTTTGCAGGTTCTGAAAGGTCTATTTCAGCTCAGACAGGAGAGGGTCAAAGCAGTGCAGAGACTAGACGGATCAGCAGAGGCCCGGTCCCTGTTGGCCTTGATGCTAATTAAACACTAACTGATAGAAAAAGCCTTCTCCACACTCTAATTATTCCCCATTTCAAGTCTAATTTTACCAATCAGTGCCATCTTTATTTCTGAGAGCAAATTGGGCAGTAATCATTTTCTAGTGGAGATTTCCCTGCCTCTAATTGTTGAAGATGATTTAGTCATTATCAGAACGCTGGCTACTCTTATCAGTCATCGCACAGCACAAATTTATCTGGAGATTGTGCTCGGAGAAATTCAGCTGAATATTGTAATGAATTTTTAAAGTGATGACCGGTGGGGTTGTCATAGTTTGACGGAATATTTCCAATACGCAAAGTCTAAAATGATCTGGTGCGGCAGAGGGAGACAATTTCAAAACATTTAATGCAAAATATTTGTATAAAAAAAATCACGCATTTATTTGACATCAAATTTGTTTGAATCAAACCATCAATGACACATTTAGTGAGTTTACAGTGCAGCGACATTTAGCAATGATATGTTGAAGGATAAAAAGTTTCATTAAGCTCTTTATTTGCTTCAGTGTCACACAGCTTACCTTTATGTCTGTGTTTGCTAGATTTTATTGGAGCACCACAAAAATATCACAAATGAACTAATTTGCATTACAAATGTACAGTAAAAGGTTTGAACCACATCCAGATAATCAAAAGGCAAAAATATAAAAAAAACAGCAAAGTGTGACAGCAGGATGTAAAGGAAGTCCGAGCGACAAAACATCAAGGACAAGAAGATACTTTGAAGGGGGGGTACTTCCCTTTTCCTGTTTGTCGATTTTGACTTCCTGTGTGTCCTTTGACATAACAGTCCGGCTGGTCAAGGTGATCCCTCTTTATTTCCTTCAGTTTGATCAGCTTGTGCAAAAAAAAGTTAGCTGGAATAGAGTTGATTCTATATATCTGTGTAATTCATTGAATTGCCCTTAATTCAATTTAAAGTCTACATTATAAAATCTATTTCAAAATAAGATCCTGTTTTTTATAAACATTGGCACACTTGCAAATGTACAGCAGCAGAGAGAACATGTATATATATGTACATATGAGACCTTAATGCTTGTTAAATCTGTCTTGGCCTGTGGAGTCAGTTATGACCAGATGGTTCTGAAAATAAGCCTTATTTTAGCCTCGCAGCTTGTCACTTATTGCTTTCAGCTTTCCTGATCAGATAAATTAATATGGCAAAATCTCACTTATCCACATTGGCAGCCTGGGTGACTGCTGATTATGTTTCACAAATCTGGAAACATGAATTTGGAGTTATTTATATCCTTTGTAGTCTGATTCAACTTCACCGCACTTTTGGGGGTTAGGTGAGAGAGGTCTGGTACTCAGGACTACCTTTTACACCGCACCTATCAGGGGGTTCTTTCGTCTCGGGTCAGGCTGTCTGTCGTCTCCGTAGCCGTAGCGCTCGGGGCTGGTGTAGCGGCCGGGACTGGCCTGCCGGTATCCGTCCCCTCGCCCCCGGCGGCTTCGTAGTAGTGCCGCCCTCTGCGCCCGGCGGTGGGCGAAGGGGGCATGTCCTGCCTTACCGGTGCACGTTGCTGCTGCCCTGCTTGGGGGGACGAGGGGTAGTAGCGCTGGTTGCTGGGCGCCTGGTGGGGCTGCGTGCCCGCCTGGGGGAGCGGCATGCGGCCGGGGTGGCTGGAAGCAGGAGGGTCGTGGTAGGAGTAGGGAGCCGGCTCTCTTGGCACGGGTCTGGAGTGGGTGGGGTAATCATATGGATCCCTCCTGAAAGAGAAAGATGGTCGTCTGTAAGAAAGTAGCAACTGGAGTCTGTAGGACTGTCTGACACCATTAGTAAAGACACACATAGGATCACACACTTATACAGTGTGTATGCTTTAGAGTATAGAGGAAGACAATATTTAATACTGGTTTAAACTGGTTTGCAGTAGAGGACGTGCCAGAGATTTGGCCCCCTTCTTGCAGTAAGCCTCCTCCTGTTATTCAGTTTAGGTGGCGAGGCTGTGGCCTTGGCAGGATCGAGTTGTGGGGGAGACGTGGATGGAGAGATGCCAAGAGATAACAGCAAACGCTTTGGTAAGCATATATGAGGTCGTGTGTGTGTTTAGCTGGTGTGTGTAGGAATGTGTGTGTGTGTGTGTGTGTGTGTGTGTGTGTCCCAGGGGTCTGCAGTAACGAGGCAGCCAGCTGGAAGTCTCCGGTTCCCTCCCACTAGCTCTGGGTGATTAGGGGCTAAACCCCTGGGTAAGGCGACACGCGGGCTCGGGGAGACGGAAGGGGAGAGAGGAGAGAGAGAAAGAGAGAGAGAGAAAGTGAGAGAGGGGAAGATAAAGAGAGAGAGAGAGAGGGGAGAAAATAAAAGAGAGGGCTGCTCACCTTTCACAGGCCCATTCAAATGTTTTCCATCTTATGTGCTGTTTCCAGTGCTGAGTGACACACATGTCTAGCTGGAGCGAGTAAGCAAATCTAAAAGTCAGGTCTTCATGGGCCTCGCTGTAAGGGAAACTCTCTCTATTTTTAACAGCGGTGATCTGCAAGAGCCCTGTCAACATTAATGATAACTTCTGTTGAGTCTCCGCTCGCACACACTTTCTTTCTGTTTATTCCAAACAAACTTTCTTGCCACCTTTGACACCTCTTCTTGGCCTCAATCGATAGAAGGCTAAAGGGCACATTCAGATCAAATGCATGCATCTCTAAAGGTCTGTGCTAGTGTGAGCATGTTGCTACAGGTTCGTGGTGAGAAGATGGTATGAAACAGGAAGCCCACAAAGACACAACAAAGTTAGTTACTCTCTACTAAGTCTTCTTCAACAGTTAGCATGGCAATAATGTTCGTCTCTATCTCCTGTTTGTGAGATCAAAACGGGTGTCTGACCGCAGCAATGCGTTCCAGGATGACGCTCTGCTGTGGCAGGATCAACTATTTTGTCCCAGATGACCTTGCAAATTTCTTCTGTCTTTTTATTTTTTTACTTTTGCCAGAGTACTCCCACAGTGGCGCCACCAATGTGCCAACTGCCAACACCACGATCTTGAGTATGTTTATATGCACACAAGAAGTCTGCGGGAAATCAAGTTATGCAGCAAATTGGACAACATGTTTGCATGACCTGCAGTAACCTGGTTGCTGTAAGATCCACTTTTAGTTTTATTTTTCAGGGACAATGGTCTTTGATCAGCAGCAATTAGCCTGTGAGGCTAAATGCTAAAAAGTTCCCCTAAAGATAGAGTAACACAATATATCTTCTCTAATTATTATTATTACACAACATAATACATATTGTGCATAAGATAGTACAGTACAACTTTGATTTAATGTGTATTGGAAGGTGCAAGATGCTGCTTATGGTTAACAGGCAGACTTTACACAAATAATTCAGACTCAGTATTATTTTTAATATAAGGACTCTAAATGTAATGAAAATAATAATAAATAATAATGTAATGACATTTTCATCCTGTCATGTGTGTAAACTTTGTCATGCAGCCTGGTTACGGGTATACATAATTTAAAAAAAAAATCAATCTTTCCTTGGAAAAACTTAGGTATCCCGAATCCCCTACCCCGATTACCCAGAAACCGGTAACACTGAAGAAATCAATGAACTGCACACAGCCGAAACAGCAAATGTTGAAGCTTTCACTAAGAGGCTACACTTCAATTGACCATTATACTCCATCAGTCAGCAACAGAGAGCAGCAAAACACATTTAGAAATTTACTTCCCACCCTTCAACAATGGCTCCCACTGTAGTTATTATACAGAAGCCTTGAGCTTAGCCTCTCCCTTGTTCTGCAATCATATCCCCGCGTCTCCTCTGTCCAGTCCCTCGAGTCGAGCTCAGCACCTGTTGACTGGCCAATTAGAATGACTCACTCACCACAGATTAGGTCGCACACAGCTCGGTTGTGCGTGTGTGTCTGTGCTTGTGCATAAGCGGGCTTCCCTTGAGGATATTCATGGACTGTGGTGAAGTGGATTTGTGTAGTGTGTGTGTGTGTGTGTGTGTTTGTGTGTCAGTCAGTAGAGTGTGTGCCAGGGAGGCCTGACCACCCAAACAGAGCTGCGGGACGGGATACACAGGTGGTCCCAAGAATGAACAGCGCTGCCTTGTCAGTCAGCAGAGCAGGAAGGACGGGGCCGCACACAAACACAGATAGGAATACACACACACCCACACACACACACACGTGCATTGCTATGGTTTGTGATAAGGAAGAAAAGAGAAATAGGGGGATGAGGTCTAAAAAGACAAAAAAGGGAAAAAAGTCTGAGAGGTAGAATAAGAACAGAGAGAGAGAGATTTCATCTGAGGAGGCAGAAGCAGATGTGGAGGGAGTCTGGGTAAATTCCTCGATGTAAAGCTCGGCGAGCGGTGGAAAGAGCTAGAGAGAGGAAGAGAGACGAAGGTCAACCTCCTCATTAATCCAGATTAAATGGCGAAGGCCACCAGGGCGGGCGAGGAGAAGCAAAGAAAGGTTGAAGTGATATGGATAGAGGAAGGGGAACACCTGGGTCCCTCAACCCGACTCAGGGCCACCCAAACAGACAGGAACCTCTGCTAGCTTTCCCTTTCTTCTCTCATCATTCTTCTTATTCTTCCCCCCTCTGCCATCTTCAATTTCCACATCGTTTCCACTTGAATATTCATCTTCCTCTCCCTCTGTCACCTCTGACCTCTCCCCTTCATATCTGTTCATCACCTCCTTATGCATGCTGTTATTTAAATGCTTCTACCATCCGTGCACCTCCTCTTTTCCTCATCTACAGTGCTATTTCTAGCTTCTCCAAGGTAATAATAAGGGCAAAGCAGTAATATGAGCAACAATAAATCCATGTGTGGAGTAAACCTTTAACAATATAGTACCCTGTGCAGAAAAATGGAAGACTTATGGATGCTAATGGCAGGAAAAACAACAATTTAGGTGTGAAAGCATCAGTGAATACGTTCTTTGTCCAATTTTCTGGATGACTAAGTGATAAATGAAGTAGGATAAATTCCTGTAGTGCCATGCTACAAAGGTCTGGATGACTTTTGACCCTGACATGACATGGCCTACTAGCCTAGGACTAGTAGCTGTTTATGGGTTGTAGGGCTGCCTTTTGTCTGCTCATATGGGAGTATTTATGCTCCTTCGGGGAGGTGAGGGTCTGACAGTTTCAATGTGTTTGAAGGAGAAGCAGAAGGGTCAGAGTTTTGGTTGGACATCGATTTAAGCACATTTTACCACCAGATTTAAAATGTAGAATATCTGATATTATTGTAAAAACATTGTTTAAAAGCGAACGTCGGGACGTATTGCGGTTAACGGCATGAGAGTATGCGTTTGTGTGTGTCCGGCCAAGCAGCTGGGGGATTAGGGGGTCCACGGGCCTCAGTGACCCATAGGGAGTTCCTCATTCCTGGGTCACACAGCTGGCTTCAGCCTGGTTGGAATATGGAGGGAAGTGAATGTGTTTAGTCTGTGTGCGTTTCTGCGGGTCTTTGCTAAATGACGATGTCCAGCCATATTTGAATTTTGCATTAATTAGGATTTAATTTAGCGGCTCTAAGTAAAACATCTCCAGCATGCGACTAAGAGAGCGAGCCAGAAGAAGAGTGCATGGTTGCGTTTGTATATTCAGAGTGTCAAAACGAGATCTCTTGTTTACTTGTGTACTTATGTAACTTCGTCGGTAAGTGTGCTGTGTCCCATGTGAGTATGGGAAAGAGAGAGAGGGAGAGTGAGCAGGAGAAAGAAATACAAACACAACGGCTAAATAAAGGTAAAACACAAGTTACAGTTCTCCCTAATTATTAACAGACATGTAAAAGATCAAGTAGTGTTCTGGTTTACCCGTCTTCCACCAAAAACAAAAGTGAGCTACAGTTTCCCGAGGACAGGGTGGAAATTTCCTCCAGAGCTGTTGCTTTTGACTTACAAAAAACATGCCAAACATGGCAGATTCCTGCACAAATAAAACAGTTGGTAATGACAATTAAAGGAGCTCTGCCAGCACGGCTTATCTATCTTGAAAAGCGCTTATGACAACAAGACACATGCAGACAGTAGGTGTGTTTTCATTCAGCTGTCAAGTGAGTTTTAAGCACACTTCTGAAATGTCAAAAATAAAAAAAACATATGCAAATGAGATGTTTCCATGATGGACGTTGAAACAAATAAATAGGTTTGAATTAATGTCACAGCAGGAAAATGAAAAGACTGTCAAGACTGAATTAGTACTTGGTATGTTGTTATTTTTCTCTCTGTTATTATTTAAAGTACTAGGGATATTGTAATACAGCTATCATTGATAAAGCTACTATTTGCTGCAATGTAGACACAGACATGGGAGTGACAGTAGGTATGACATTACCAGGAAGAGGTAATTTACAGATAACGTTTCACAGAGTGCAAAGCCAGTTTTGATCTGTTTTGCAATGACATGGAACCATTTGTCTACATCAAATGCATTTCCATCCCTATTTATCATTTCTTTACATACTTTTTTGATCTGAGCAAATATACAAACCTTTTGGGATACATTGGAAATGTTATTAAATATTTCTGTTTCCATTTGCTCTTTAAATTTGATCTATTCATAGATTCATGAAAATGGAGACAGTGAAAAGAAAGGGAGAGGCAGAGGGAACAAAAAAAAGAGGCAGTGTTGAAAAAGATGAGCCATGTTGAGCAGGAGACAGGCAGAGAGACAGATGCAGACACCCGTCTGTCCTCCTGAGGTCTATATAGAGCAGCAGCGCAGGGTGTGATGTGAA